TTTATCATATTTTTAAAATATTTAAAATGATTTTAATTCTAAATATGTGTTATTCATAAATTATCATGCATATCTTTACTAACATAAAATTGCCTTAAATTTTATTAATTATATTTATATTTGCATATTGTTTACACATTTATGGTATTTGATAATCCTGATATCATGATTCATATATTTAACAATTGTTATTAACTGTATATAATTTATAAAATACATCAATATTGTGAAGCAAATGTAAATAATATTAATATATTTTTTTTTAATTTATATATATAATAAACATTCCTACTTATGCAATATAATTTGATTATTTATCAAATAATAAATTATTAATTAACATTTAAAGTATGATATAATGAATGTGTTTGTATAAGAGTGAACTTAATAATTTATATAAGCTAATATTATTTTATTCAGGAATATATTTTTTATTTTTTTGTACCATTAACTACAGATTAAACCATAAATTATATATAAAAATTAATAACATATGAATTATCAATTTAATAGAATAATAAATAAAAATTATTTTAATATAAAAAATTTTACATTGACTCTGGATTGTACGTGTTATAATTTACGTTTGCATATAGTAATAAAAAGTATATTTCCAATAATAATACAAATTATAATGCAAAAATATAATATAATATAATATAAAAGAAAAAAAAGAAATTAATATATTATTGATATTAGAAATAGTTTTTTTAATGAAATTATCAATAATTTATATACTTATATTTGAATTTATAAATATTTTTATGTATTTAAAAAGTATGGATAATTACACATTTATTGTATGAGCATTTATAATTAATTTTATTTTTTATAGTAATTGTATTAATAATAATATAATTATTAAAATAATTATATCAATATTGTAAAATAGAAAATAATATTACAAATAACATATCCAGTATAGATATTTATAAGTAGTCCATAGTTTACGAATAATAAATTCTATATATTTTTACAATTTAACAGAGAAAGACAATTTACTTTTAAATGTTAATATTTAATAGCATATTATTTTATGTTGAAATAAAATAATATATTCTTTAATGGAATTACTTGATTTGTTCTTTAGAATATATGATGAAAGGATACTCTTCAGTTTTATTCATTTAACATGGCATAGGATTTTATTTTTTTTCATTATAATAATTAATATATATATATAAATATATGTGTTATTATTTAAATATAATGCTTATTAATAGTATATCATAATTAATCTCATTTGTAATTTTACTTATATTCTCTAAAACATATTAAAAATATATATTATTTCCTTTTTGGTTAAGATTCTTTTTATACGAATGCGCATAGTTATATAATTTATAAAAAAGTAAATTATATAAAAAATTATAATGAAAGAAGTATTTTTATGAAATGTGCTTATTTTTTATTCTATTTATATCAATTATTATATATTTAATCTATTACATGATTCGTATTAACTATATTGATAATACCATAGTAAATGATTAAATTATAAAAATAATTCATAGAAATAATAATTTAAAAATATTTCATAGTATGAATTTTTATTATCATTTACTCTTCAAATTAAAAATTTTTCACAATTGTATATATGCTTGTGTTGTTAAATATCATTGTATTTAAATTTTTTATAGATATATTTATTATTGATTCATTTATTACATGAGTTAAAATAAGCATTATATGCGTTAATAATGGATGATTTGGTATATAACAAAAATTTATTCAGTGCAATCATTATACCAGTAACCGATAATATAAAAATATTTCTGCTAAAGGAGGAAATACTTAATAACAAATATAAGTATTTATATAACGTTTATTTTATACCTCCCATATTAATCACAGGATGAAGTTAAAAAATTATTACCTTCTCTTAGGTATTACAATCAATTAAATGGTAGTAGTGATATGGGTTTGAAGAGAGACTGTTATGAAATAAATAACAATATGGATGATATAATCGCTTTTATTAATATATGTATGAATATTACAGGTGCTATGGAAATGTTGGATTTAATGAATCATTTTCATATACCTGTAAATAACAAATGTACATCATTTATACTTTGGATATATGATTATGTAATTAAGGAGATTAACAATGATAATGGTTACATTAAAACTAAAAGAGTTATTAATAAAATAAATGATATTTTGCAAAGAAATTCTAGCACAAAAGAATGTGATGTTCTTAAATACAGCGATATAGAGATTGATTTAGATAAATTAAGAACATTAAATGATTATGTAAACGATTATAAAACTATTGAGCAATACATTAATGACAGTAATTATAAGTGCAGCAAGAAACTCTCAGACTATATATATATAAGAAGAGATTTATACAATTCAATAAAATTTCAATGCATTGATAAGAAAGGAGATAGATTCTGTGAAGCCTTTAATGATTTAATTAATAATTCATATAGTAATTATTTTACAAATGTATTATGCCTAGAGTTAGATAATAAAAGAATAGAATATATTACAATGCAAAATTTCCAGAATCATTCAGTTGGAAATCACCTAAATAAGGAATTTATTGATAAAAAAGCGAGTGCTATTTTCAGAAAAAGTACAAAAGCTATAGTAGGTGTTATCACATTCATGTTTATATTTTTACTAATTCTGTTCATATTGTATAAAGTAAAAATAAAAAAAAAAAAAAAACCTAAATATATTAACGATTTTATATAATGCTGGTTGTTAATTATAAGGAATTATTTTAAACAATATATATTATACTTTCCATATATTTTCTAGTTTTCACCTTTTAGAACATGGAAATACAAAATATTAAAAAAAATTAAAAGAGAATGGAATAATTTAGATAAAACATATGAATATGGAACATCAGGATATTTATCTAAATCAGAACTATTAAATTTAATGAGAAATCCAATAAACATTTCATACATTCCATCTTGATATATTTAATACTAAAGTTAAACGTAATTTTAAACATTTTGTATATTTCAATATTCTCACAAGTACTTGTATACTAATGTAATCCCTATAATGTAAAAGAAAACGAATGTTAATTTTTCCTTGAAAAATAACATATACTATAATACCTATATTTCTAATAAATTAAATACTTCGTAATAATACAATAAATGTAGATTCAAAAAAAAACGCTATAGTTGAAAGGAAATATTATATTTTTATTATTTTCAAAGTTTATCTTTAAGAGCAATTTTTATACTTATTCATTTTAATGACAACAAAAGGCATAAAATAAAACATTTAATAAAAATTTTATGCTAAGTATTATTTTATATAATAATTTAACGATGTGTAAGGAATATATAATACAGAGAATGTAAAATGTATAGATGTAATAAATATATATTATGTATAAGAAATATGATAGTAATGGGCATATATAAATTTAAAAAAATACTTTAAAAATTTATTTTTATTACCGAAATTTTAAATTTTTTTATACATTTTTTTTTACGAAGGAATTAAAGAATAATATATGAAGATAAGAAAATCGTTATAATGGACTATATATTAGACATAATATATAACCTTTCTTATTTTTATGATATATTTAACATAAATAACTAAAAATATTTTATCAAAATATTTGTTTTTTTTGTATTAATACTATTTTATAGTATATTAAATCACTATATATTAAATATATACCTTTTAATAAATCCCATGTTTGTAAAAAATAGGAATGCTGGATTCACATATATCTTTTAATTGTTATGATATATAATATGTAAATTTTGCGTTATTGTATGAAATGTATATCTCTAATAACATTTCATTTAAAATATATATTTATATATATGTTATCTATTATATGAAAAATTTTAAGAAATATATGATGCTATAAACATAATGACTTCTTACATGAAGTATTTTTTTAAATAAATTTATGTAATATGCAAAAATTCTATTTTATTATTTGTCTCTCATTAATTTGTAAAATGACATAGTTATTAATTTAATATATAAATTATCTATATAATAATTAAAAATTCAACATAATAAAATAAATAGATAAATTTTTACAAAAAGAAATAATTTTAGTTCATGAATTATATATATATAATAGAATACACTTTCAGAAATATACATATTTATGTATTTCTTTATTTTTTTTTAATTTTTGATTTATAATTATTATTATAGAGACAATTCGAAAATATATACTAGTATGTATTAGAAAAAAGCAAGATATTTAAGAATTCTAATATTATTTGTGAAGGCACACGCTGATATTTAAAATTATTCTATTTGCGTTGTTCTAATATTCAAGTTAAAATATAATAAATCTAATAATATGTATTTTTATTGTTAAATTATTATATATCTATTAATAAATAATCTATTATATATATAATTGTGTTATATTCCCTATAGATTATGCATCTACATATTCTAATATCATCATTTTTATGTAATATATTTCAGTTTATTGCTTTCTATCTAACTTAGCACATACGGAATTATAAATATTACATTGTTATATCTATATAAATATGTAATTACTATTATAATTTTTATTATTTTTCTTTATTTTTTGTGTTAATAAATAGAATTATAAATATCCATTTGCCCCTTTAATATAATTATGTAAAAGAATGTTTATATTTTAAATGTGAAGTTTTTTATATAAATGTTCTTTAACATACATATTATATGAAATATATATATTCAATAAAAATAAAAAAGTTATTTTTCCCCTTTTAATACATATTTGGTTTTTATGTTTCTATAAATTAAACCTTATAATTAAGAATTACCCTTTTATGCTTTTTAATTTTATACGCTTTATATAATTATCCTTGAAATCTTAAATAAAATATAAGGTGCTGTTTAAAGTATCCATATATAATAAAGCTTTTATATAATTTAGAACATTTATGAAGAACTAGTGTTTAAAGTCGTGCGTAAAATTATGATAATAAAATATAAACATAAATTAATATAATATAAAATATTTATATTTCTTAATATTTCATGCTTTACCAAACACTGCATAAGTATATATTAACTGATCTTTTTATTAATATAATTTGTTTATTAAGCTTACAATAATCATGAGATAAATAAAATAAAGCTATTATTAATGATTGGACATATAATAAAAATATTAAATATACAATTAATATATAATATGATATAATCGTTATAATAAATGTTAATGCTTGTTTTTCAACAAAGAAAGAAGATATTAACTAATGTTTTACCATGCTTACTCATATATTTATTTAAAAAAAATATCATTTTCTAGCACAATAATTTTTCATTTTTTTTTATATTGAATAATAATATATATATATACTTTATGCAAATATTAAATATAATGTATTAAATAAAAATTTCATGGTAATATATTTGACACGTTATTATCATGTCTATCAGATTAGATATTTCATATATTATTTGCTATTCATTTAATGGATGTGTTTTTTATGCTTTAAATATTATATTAATATTTTAATTTTATTATTCAAAAATTATTTGCATAAAGAATTAACATATACGGGGACAAACACATTATATTAACTACTAATTATTGTAAAAATAAAAAAATGAGTAAAATTATAAAAACATTTATATATGTAAAAGAAGTTATCCTTATATAAAAGGTTTATTTTAAGTACGTGAAAAATATTGAATTATAGTACTTCATATTTGTTCCATTTACAATTAAATGAATCATATTCATACACATGAAATTACATATAATACAATGAATTAAATAGAAAAAAAAACATGTTACAATATATTAATATAATAAAAATATGTATTAATAATAGTGATTTATTTATTATTAGTTTTATTATCATATGAAGATATCTTCTTCATAAATATAAGTTAATATTAATATAGTTTTTGCGAATATTATAATAATTAATTGTATAATTATTCTAATTTAACTGCATTATTAAAATTTCGCATTTATACAAAAAACTCAATAATTTCTAAGTGTTATATTTTCTACTACCTGTATTATTCTTACATAACATAGTTCTCCAATTATTAAAGAACAGTGAGATAAAACAATTTTATTCGTACTCATATTTCAGCAAGGTTACTTTATCTAAAAATATTATTCTGCACAAAATAATATACATCCTTTCAATAATATATCTCATATATTAATAAGTTATTATATATTCTATTATACTTTGTCTATTTAAAATTCTCATTTTTTTTTATACTACGATTATAATAGAATTTATTATGTAAATACAAATGGTAGAAAGAACATCATTACCATATATATAAATATTTCTTAATTAATTATATGTGCTTTACTATATAGACTTTTTATTATTATATAATTATATTAATCATAATGATTTAATACTAAATCATTTATCTTATATAGAAAATAAAAATACATAATAGATACATGGCAAATTACAGTAATATATAAAATTCTAATATTAGGGACCATTTGTATGAGAGAGTAGGATAAAATGAAATATAATTAAATAATCCTATAAAGGGAATTATTAATATGTGTAATTAAAAATAATTTAACCCTAGCGCAACACTTGTATACTAACATTTTTTTTTATTATATATCTAAATTTTGTAATCTTCATTATGTATTATACACATGATAATAATAGAATACGTTATTATTTTCCTTTAATAATGAATTATAATGCATGTATTCAACATATTAATGTACATGAGTAAGCTATTAATATATTAGAGGTAACAGTATTTACTGTATTAATCCTAATGTATTTATTAATTAAATATTTACAAGAATCAAAATTTTTGTGAATGCCATATAACATAGTATCTATATTGTGAAATTTTATCTCATAATAATAAGTACATAAAAAAAGAGAAAATATTAAATTTTTCATCAAATTAAAATGTGTTTTCATATGTATAAATTTACATAGATACTTATTTTTTAAATGTAAATGCGCAGCATTTTTAATGAGAATATAAAAAAATAAAATTATAGTATTTTTAAAAGCATGCATATAGAATAAATACATATATTTATCTATAATAAAATTAATTTAATTTCACTTACATAAATTATTATTTAATATGCATATTTTACTGCTAAATAAGTATTTATTATTATAGTGTATATGGTGCAATATATCTTGTAAAGGCACCAAATTTTTTTGTTAGCAGTAAATATTCAAGTTCTTCAAAAAAGCATACATATGTTTGATAGTCAAGATGCTTCTTACTTATTTATATTCAATCATATTATATTATTCTTAATTATTGATTCATATATATGTTGTTTTATTCTTGTTTATATCTATTTAAGCGCAGACATTTTTATTTATTCTATTATGCATGACATATATAGTAGATTTAAGAAGATGTGCACTTATGTTATTACCAATAATAGTAACTACAATTTAAATAAATAATAAAGCTAATATTCATTCAATACTGAATGTAATGCATTAATGATTCTTTATTCAATATATAAAGTATCTTAGGTTAGTATATAACTAAACTACTATATATAATGTATTGTCAATATCCGAATTCCTTAATTGTTTACTATTAAAACACTGTTAAAAAAGGAAGTTGAAATATAAATAAAATAAGGTTGAAATAATTTTATATTATGCTCTTTTTTGATATTTAACTTTTTTCACTTTTATTATATATTAGATTAATTATAAATATTTATTGATGAATAAATATAATAAGATTAATCAATGAAAATATATATTTTTCAAAAGATCATTGTTATTTTGTTGCATTTTCTTTTATTCTATTACATATTTTTCCATTATACAGCATATTATGTCGATTTATTATATTTTTTTTATTATATATATAATATTATTTCATCAGTTAATTAAATATAATAAATAATTATCACATAAATGTAAAGCTGTATTCTGAATATTGTTACCGTATTATGCTTAATTTTAATTATTTATATGTATTTATTCCTCATAACTAGTAAATTGAAATGCATGATTTTTTATTATTGTTTGTGCTTTTTTATATGACTCCTAATTATTTTACAATTGCTCGAAATATTTACTATTTGATGTATTATTTACCACATTAAATTGCAAATTGAAAAAAGAGCTAATCTTGTAATTTTTACATTTTTGAACATACATGTATATATATTTTTTTTTTTTCATAGCTATAATATATCATTTCTAATACTTTTACTTTAGTAACGAGAGACATTGAATTCATTAGTTCTTATTATAGCTCTATTAGCTGTCTATTGAGGAATACGCCAATTGATAGTTATAATCAGTTATATTTTCGTATGCTTTTTTATATGAATTCTTTAAATTTAGATGTTCTTTATTTTTTTTATTCAGCAATCTCTTTAATTTTTTTACACTCTTTTGTAATAAAGCACCATAAGTTGTATACTGATAATAGGATTGGAATATAATGTTTTTATAAATAAGCTATTTATTTGATATAACTTATTCACAATATTATAAATTTAAATTTATATAAAGCTTAATTATAATGAATTGTATTTATTTTTACCTTATACAATATGATTGAAATTGTAACAATTACAGGCATTAAAACAATTGTGCTTGTGCTTATTCCATTCACTGATCCTGTGTCAGTGTTCTCACTTCTTAGTTTAAGTTGTATTTTTTTAGGTACTTTAATTCCCCCTATGTATTGACTTATTTCAGGTTCTAACGTTTTGCTAGAGCTTGCGATTTTGGTTTTTTTTAGCTCTGTTTCTGTACCTGTTTCTGTCATAGAATTGCGATGCGATGCATCATGTTTCACTTCATTACGGACAACGGACTTAGGGGATATTTGTTCATATTGAATTTCAATATTTTTTAGGAATTTTTTAAAATTTACTCCATCCTTATATTCACATGATTTTAATTTTTTTATATATCTATCACAACTTACACGTTCAGAGTTATAGCATTCCCTGCCATTAATTTTATATATGATGTTATATAATGTATCCAGAATATCGAACACACCATATGCCTTATCATCTAAATCTTTAAAATGGATACTGCAATTGTAAGAATTTCTTCCTAAATATAATTGTTTTACCAAATGATTCTCATAATGTTGTAGCATGAATCTACAGTTTCACAATTGAGATTTTTATATTTTTTTTCTAGTAGTAGCTTGTAAAATAAATATTTACAACTCAGTTTTTTGTCAATAATGGACTTATAATTTAAGTGATACAAATAATTAGCAATTCCTAGGCAATTTGAATAAACAGATATCCGTCGGATTGATTCTGCTACATGATTACTAAAAGCTTGGCACGCATGCCCCAGATTGGAAGTTTTATAATGATTATATATTCTTGTAGTACTATTATAATCTTTATTGCATTGGGGTAATATATCCGTATAATCAAACTGAAAAGAGGTGGTATTATGTATACGAAAATTTAAAATAATAATTTTAAGAATATATTTTTTGCTTTAATATAAAAAATATAAAATTTAAAATTTAATAATATATATTATAAATTTATAACAATTAGAAATATACGTCTATGACTTCTGATACATAAGGTTCTCTGTAGCTCATTGCGTTTTTCATAAGTAAATTAATAAAAAAAAAAAATTATGTTATAAATAAATTATTTATAAATAAATAATGTACTTATATCAGGTGTATTAATTTTCACAGCTTATAAAATTTAAAATATATTTCTACATAATTCTGTTTATTCAATAAATCATTATATAACATATTGTTGTTATTAAGGAAATGTATTTTTACTTATAAATGTATTATATGATAAATACCTATTTATCGTAAGAATTACATAAATTAATATTAAATAATACAAACGCAAAATAGTATTGCTTTATATACAATATTATTTTATTAAAAAAATTAATAAATATATGATGCTAAGCTAAAATAAATAAAAATATATAATAGTTCAGTACTGTAATATTTATGTAATTACTATTAATTCCTTATAATATGTGATATAATGCATATGGTTAGGAGATGCCTATGTTTACAGTTTATATTTAGATTTATGAAATTTTTTTACCTTTGAGTAAAGAGAGGTTGATGATTAACAAATGGATATGTTCAGTTTACGTTTATTGTTTTTATTAAATTTGAACAAATATATATATTAATCATAATATATTGTAGGATGTATACCTAGGTATTGGATACTCTGGCATAAGGATTATGATATATATATATACAATAAAAATTATAGTTATCATATATACCTATACTTTATGTATACAATCATTATAAATATAATTTTTTATAATTTATTGATCTACTTGTCTCAATAATTTTTCAAAAATAAAAGATTTAATGAGTATGTAACATTAATTTAATGGCATATTAAATATATCCTTTTTTAAAATACCTTATTACGTAAAATAAATTTATATTTTATTAGTTATGATATATATTTTTAATTTTTTTGTATTTTTATAATTAAGGTTGAACATACAATATTTATTAAAAGAAGAATTTTAAAGGTAAAATATATTATTTCCAAAACTATATATTCCTTTACACTAATTAATATATATATAGGCATAAAATTGTATTTATATAATACACGTTATATATAAAGAATGTTATTTCTATAATATATATTTCTAAATTCAAGTGAATACTTTATTAAATCCCATAAAGTAATAGGGAATATATATATTTCAAAAAATATATCAAAGATCATGTAACTATAGTTTACTTTAAAACTTACTTTTTTTAATTTTTTTTTTTTTTGAAAAAATATTATTTATATTATTAAATTTAGTAAAAATAATTAAACAATATTAGAAATAAAATTGAATAAACTAATTTTTCATTTATATATACATAAAACAACAGTTTTAATATACTTATAAAAATACTTCATTTTCAATTTATGTATCCTCCATTATATTATAGATAATATATTATTTTGAATTTAATATTTACTATATTTTTTTTTATATTTACTTTATGATAATAATAATTTATTATGAAATAATTATTTTTATAATTATAATATTTTCTATGAAGAATTTATGGAAGTAAAACATACAACAATTATTTAAATTGTTATATTTCCGTATTATTGGAATATTAGAAATATTAAAAGTAAATATATATATTAAAAAGATTTTATTTATTTTAGAGATATATAATGTTAAACTAGAACGTAATATATTTATAAATAATTATTTATTTTCCAATAATGTATACTAGAATAAATCTTATTAAAAAAAAAAATAGCTAATAATGATCATAGTAAATGGAAAAATATATATATGTAAATGTGTATTGTGAAATTTTTAGTTTAGAAAAATGAATACTCTTTTTTAAAATATTACATAATACTCATTATAAATAGAGTTTATAGAACTATATTATATCTATTACATGAAACGTTTAATGTATTTACATAATGACAATAACATTATGTAAAAAGAAAAATTATTAAATACCATAGTTATTTTTATATATATTTAGATAAAATCTAGCATTCATTAAAAATAAATTTGATGAATTCTTTATTATTACTGTTCTTTCCTTTATAAAATAGAGGTAATATTATAAAAATATTAATAATATAATATGTGAAAAATTTTATAATAATTAAGTTGATCTATATAATGTGGTAAATGAATCCTACATAATAAGCAAAATAATTGCACAACATAAGTAATATATAAGTGCTATTATATAAAAGGCTCTAAAAAATTATTTAATAGATCTAGAGAATGTACTGATTATGTATTAAATATACAATAATAATATACCCAATTATGTTGATAATCGTTCATATTTTACTTATATATGTACATAATTAGGTATAGTATATAACAGCATTATATTCTTAATAAACTGTAAAAAAATTTGTTATAAAATATTTTGTCATAGCATTCTATTCGGTGATCTTTTCACATATATTATATTGAAATATTATTATACAAACAAACATCTTGCATACTTTAATTAAATTATAATCATAAAAAATATTTTTCCTTACATGTCACTTCATATACATATGTTTTTATACAAGAAACAAAAAATTAAATGTAAATTTTAATCGTATTACTGATGGTAATGAGTTATGTAATTGTCCATTAATCGTATTCTTTACGTTAATATCATTTTATTATTACTAAAAATAATTTATTAATCACCCTTATATTATATATTTATTTAAGGAAAATATATTTATTCTGTTATTATTTTCATCCTCAAAATCAAATGAGAAAACAAGAGCACTGAATTTATATGTAAAAAGTAGGCTATAGTTTTTAGGAATTTTGAATATACATTATTACTATATATTATAAATACCATGTATGTTGTATATACATATATATATATATATACTTTTCCTATCTGTATATATTTTTTTATAATATATATCAAAAATAACTTCCTTAAATATTTTAGGTTAATAGGTAACATCATGATTAAGTATAGTTTTCGATGGTTTATCATATAAATAATGTTCTAGACGTAGGTTATTCCTAAAACGTAATATTCTTGTTTCCTATATTTTCAAAGGACTCATATAATTCATATACAGGTAACCTTGTGTAAGAGGATTATTTTTTCTATATATATGTATATATTGAAATTATAGTTATTGAAGCGTAACCAGATGATTAATACTTTCTGTTATGGTAGAAATTGTTGTGCCTTTTACAAGAATTAATGATACTCCGATTATAAATTATGCCATGAAATTACAAGGTGGTGACATTTTTATATTTAGAGGAGAATATATTAACATAAAACCATTATTAAGTACTATATTTCTAATATTCTTAAAAACACTGTAAGCTCATTTATATAAAATATATATATATATGTATATACTATAATATATAGGTAATAAATTTTACAATTCTTAGGATCATATTAATTTATTAAATAATATATTTTTATAATACTTTTATTGTGCTATTAACCATAAATTTTATCTTCCTTATGATTATAAATAGTATATCGCTATTAATGACTAAAAAAGTAATAAAGAATATGATAATTGTAATTGGACGGCAAAAATTAGGTATTTGTTAATTTATATGATAGATTTTTATTGATAAACTCTTTCTTAATGTATACTAGTATTTATTAAAATAAATGAAAATATTATTATCAGAATTTATGAGAGTTTATATCATAATTAAATACTAAATAAAACAATTATGGTAATATTGTTATATTTTTATATGATTATATTTTTTAAAATACAACTAATATAAAATAATTATCAAAATGAAAAGAAATCCATATTTCAATTGCAGTATTTTCATAATATTGCATGTAGTAAATCAAAATAACCACAAAATTTGTTTCGTTTACTTATGAAAAAAAAATAAATAAGTCTGTATAAAAATATAAAAAATAACTTCTTATAGATCAAATATCATTATTATCAAATTATCAATAAATTAAATTGCAAAATAAAAATTTTATATAATTCAGAACAAATTTTATAATAAAATGATTTTCTATTAAAATATATATATATATTTATATAATATAATAATAATATTACGAAATATATAAAAGATATTTTATATATATTATAATTATATATGGTAAAAAAATACACTCATATTTTTTAAAAAATGTATTTTACAGAAAAAAAAATCTATGTTACAAACATATACATATAAGATAGATATTAAAAATTAAGTATATAATAAATTATAATACTTATTTACATTGATAGATAAAATTATATTAATACATGATGTTTGAATATATTATTTGTTACGTTTTCTCAGGAAAAAAATAACCTAAATATACATATATATGTATAAATATAATAATTTTAATAATAAAGTAAAATGTATTATGTTAAAACTAAGAATAAAGTAAAAAAATTATTATAATAATAAATAGAAAAGGATAAATCGTAAAAAGTGTACTTTAAGAACGATTTCGTATATATTTTAACAATACAAGTTGATTTTACATGTTGATAACTCATAAAAATGCGTTATATTACAATGTTAATATTTTTAATTATATTAATTCTTTTTTACTTTACAAAAAGTATATAAATGTAATAAAGTATAAAAATATATATATTTTTCTTAATGTTTATTTAAAATATTATTAATATAAAAAAAAAATTGCTTAAATTAATGGTTTCAATAAATAAAAAGTACACATAGTATATAAAATATAACGGCACTTACTAAATAAGGGAACATCACATTTTAATTTTAAATCATATATATATATAGATCAATGTGATAAAAATATTACCTCATTAATATTATTTTGGGAATAAAGGAAATAATTTTTTTTTTCATTTTATGAATCATTTCCCCATACTCATATATAGCTAGAGTTTTTTCTGTACGATTACGGTTATATACATGTGAACGTACATGTATATTTATAAGTGAAAAATCATTGATTTATATTACTGTAAATAAAAAGGTACTTTTCTTACCTTTCTGTATTTGTATAATATTGTTTTTTTTTGTTTACTTGTTATGATGAAGGTAAAAGTTCCAGTTACCTATTTTTTAGTTCATTTTATGCATATAATACGAAACACATAGTGAAAAAATAATTAGAATCTTTATAATAGGCTTATATTAGCATTTTTAATAGTAATAATTATATTAATAAAACAAAACTGTTCATCAACATATAATTATTTATGCTATATTTAAAAAGATGTATGTGAATTTTGAATTTGAAATAAAAATTATATTATAATAAATATTATAGTCCTTATATTATAAATAAATATTTCTTTAATAAAATTATAAATTTTATGTAATATGTAATATGTAATTTATGCTCTCCCTAATATATTTCTCAATAATTCGTCTTCATAATTATTTTTTAAATCATTATAATTTAAAAATGAATAATGCATTCTTTGGAAAACAAATATTTCACTATATTAATATACATTTTAACTATTTAATTGTCATTATCAAAGGGATTTAATTATTGGATGCACAAAAAATATTCCCTTTAATGTTTTAGTGAATAATTTAAGTTTTATAAGAAAAACATAGCATGAAAATATGGTAAGTTATACAATAAAAAGAGCGGAAATGTAAATTTTCATGAATTTATTCAAACATGTTAATACAGTGAAATATACTTTCCAATAAATATTTTATTTAGCATTAGAAAAATATGTTTTTCGCATAATATGGCAAAATTAATTTAATTTACACAGGTTACAACAAAGAAAAAACATATATATAACTAAAATAATATACATTTATTTTTACATGAATATTCTTCAAGGAAAAATATGTACAAACTTATTATTTTATAATATGAATATTCTATATAAAAGGAGATATTACATCACATATTTCAACTATTTGTTGTATCTATAAAACAGGAAATCATAGAAATCTACAAGTTGAATAAGAGCAATTCATAATAAATAATTACTATTCAAATATTACTTTAATATATGCGAAGAAATCATATTGTATATATTATTTTAGAGGTTTCCAATTAAACTGAATAAAATTATCCTTTATATATATAAAAACATTTAAAAAAAATAAATAAATATGCATACATACAATAATAATGTTAACACAAACTTCAATATGAATTCACTATAATTATTATATTAAATATTTTGCCCATTTTCTGTATCATATAGAGATATAATTCATAAAAATTAATAGTCTTTTATAATATTTTCGTATTATTTCTTATATAAGATTAAATTAATTGTTAATATTTAAGATATATCAATTAAATAAAAATTTATATTAATAATTTATTTTCATAAGAACATTGAATGTTACCTTTTTACCATGTATTATATTTTTTTGTTGTGTATGTATGAAATATTTTATTTATAAATATACATTCTTTCCTCATATGTTCTACATAATATATACGACACAATTTCCTTAATGTATAATTTCATAATATTTTCATTTATCATTCCTACATTTCATATGTTATAATATATAAAAATTCTTATTACATTAAGTATGGTAAGGATACATTTAAAATTTATGAGCACTAATTAAAACATGTTTTCTTATAATACTATATTTTACCTTTCATGAAATATAATAAAATAATTGTACACAAATTATTAATAAATCTTTTTTTTTCATTTCTTTATAAACTTATAATTTTTAGGATATAGACACAAGTGAATTTCCATCCAAAAAATTTTATGATATATTAAATATAGATGCTAGGAAATATGGAGATAAAGCTATATATTGTACATATAATCAAGAATATTTAAATAAAGACAAAATAAGTCAACTACTTTGTTCAAAATTTATAAAATACATACTGAATAAAGATACTATATGGAATGAAAAGCACTATGATGGTAAACGATGCAACCTTTTAAGCTACTGGTTGTATGAACAATTAGAAACAAGGTTTAAAAGTAGTCCAGATGTGAGTAAAAATATTTACCGCATAATTGTAGATATATGGGAAAAAGTTCCTACTGTTTTCCGAAAACCTAATTATAAAATATGTCATATTGATAACAAAATGAATTTTTACCATGATTGGAAAAATGTGAAGGAGCTATATGATTATTACACAGACTTTTATGTAATTAAAAATAAAAGTGATTCTGATAAAAACGAATGCAAAAAATATTATAAATACATAGAAAAAAAAGAACATCTGTATAATCATTTTAAGGAACTTTGTGAAACAGATCACTCAGATAAATGCCCAAATTTTTATGAAGATAGCAAAAAGTACCATCCAACAAATGTGTTACATAAGCTTAAATGTCATGAAGAAACAGGCAACGAAGACGACGTTACAAGAGCGTTAGAAGAACACAAAGATTCAATGCATTCATATGAATTCGAAAATACACACTATGTAGCTGAATATATACCAGTAACGGATCATGAGGGGGATTACCTTTCTGATTCTACATCAAAGACAACTAAATATTCTCAAGAATCTCAGTTTTTAATTCACAATTATACTGCATTAAAAATATTTAGCACTGTGTTTTTTGGAACATTAATGATATTTATCTTATTTGTTCTTTCATATAAGGTAAATATTAAATTGATTATTACAAATAAATTCTACCAAGTTTTGAGTGACTTACATGAATCATATAATAATGCATAATAAATTAATATATTGTATATATTTTATGACATACTTTATATTATAGCTTACACCTATTCACCATATATTACGTCATAAGTTTAGAATGATAAAAAATATGATAAATAATGTAAATGAAGGAGATAATAGCACATTAAAATATACACCAGTCACACTAAATCCATATTCAGATCATCTAGATGGACATTATATAATACGCTATTTTTCTTAATTTCTTCTTAATTTAAAATAGCTAAGAATGTTATTCGTACTAATTGATGTAATGCTGAAATGTAAATATTATAATGAGCAAATAAAAATGATTGTGCACAAATAAGATCAAAATGAAAAAACTTTTAATGTGACATGTTCATATGCTACAAAAATATTAATTCACAATATATTTAACATAAAATGAAAAAATAAATATAGATTTGCGTAAATTTATTTATGTTGTGACAAATTTATTTTCAGAGTTTACAAATGTAAGATGTTTTATTCTTTGTTCTTATCAAATAGTATAAAATGAATAGTATTACAAACATATAATGCATAATATATTCAAAATATAATTATAAATCTTAATATACATAATCCTTTAAGTACATTAACTAGTATAAAATAAAAGTAGTTGTATTATGATTACTTGAATTTTAAATATTTAACCTTAGTTGAGATATTTATATTTCAGTAACTTTGAAAATAAAATATTTATATATATAAAACAATAAAATATTATTATTTTATTAGTACACTTTTTATTTACTTATTTTTATCTTCAATTAATATTCTGAATCAATGTTATTACAATGAAATTATTTAAATATTGGTACATAATTTTATTTTTTTTATGATAATGGCTTAATATTTAACAATATTTTTAAAATTGTGCTATTTTGAGCACAATGTATATATATTCATTATATATACATCTTAGGGGAAATTTATAATGATATATAATATTTCAGTGTTAACATTTATTGATTTTATATATCACACAATGATTTAGTGAGTTTAACAAAACACAAAAAAATGTAATTTAGAACAGCATTTAAAAATTGACATCAGTGAATATTGATGATCTATAATGAAAAACACAACTAATATATCCATACAATATTTACAGCGATGAGAAAATTTTTACAAATTCCAGAACTAATAATATATATATAAATATACTAATTTTAAATATTAATACTTAAAGTATTTTTATTACTATACTAATTATGTTGAATCATTATAGTAAAATAAATATTTGTGAGAGGTAAAACTAATATTACAAGCGTTTATATCATGGATACGAATAAAACAAATAAATGTAACATATATAATTTATTTATATTATTTTATAACATATTATAGAGCATTTATTTTTTTTTCCCTTACAAGAATAATAAATATGTTCTTAGTATATACATGTTAGAAAAAATTATCAATACAACGTAAAAGAAATCGATTGAAAAGTGTGATATTTATATTTAGTTAAATAATATATTATTCAAAAAATGAATAAAAAAATATTAAATTAAAAGATAATATGGAAAATAGCGAAAAAATGAAAAATTATGTGTAGAAAAATTACGATCTGTTTACACACACAAATTTAAAAACTGTAATGATATACATTTGAAAATATTAATATATATTTTGATAAAATATTAAATAAACTTTGCGACATTACGATCCATTGTAAAAACATATATATATCAAAGAAAAAGCTTTAGAAAAAAAATATTATATCATTATGATTATATTCTTTAATATTATTAATTTTCTTGAAAACTAGAAAAATATGCCATACATGTAGCTCAAAAAAAATATATGGAGTTTAATCTAGATACAATTGTAATCATACCATAATAATTAACTAATTCTGTAAAATTTCCTTATTCTGTGCGTTACATATGTTAAATATATTATAAGGATTGTTTATATTTGTTTAAAATTATAAAATTTTCTGATGATATAATGGGGAATAAAGGAACAAATATTAATACTAATATCATTCTTTAGGGAAAGTCCTCACGTAAAATAAAATATTAAATATTTCTAGATCTACAAATTATCAGTATTAATTTTTAGAAATCCTAAAATTACAAAAAATTTCATATATACACAGAGATCCTTTTCATAAGTAAGAAAAACTATATAATATAAAGATATATCTAAATATCAGATTATTTTTCTTTAATCATCAAATATATATTGTAACATAAATTAACAGTGCATCATTAATTATGTGAACATGTGTGATTTATTAATTTTTTATAATATTGCTTAGTTAAGTTAATGTATTATATAGAGGTTATATATATAACAGATATACATTACTACCTATATTATATTTTTTTATTCTTATTTTACTTTATGCTATATATTATACTTACAATATACATATATACAATTTGTTATTATTTACAAAATTATAATATTTTTTATAGCGACCCATATTCTTTTTATCATTATATTGACGTAACATATTTTTTGCATTATTATATTAAATTAAGCACCAATTAATTGTATAAACTAACTGTTAATGAATTTTTTGCGTTAAAAATATTTAACAAATAAAAATTCATATATTATCCTTTCTACAAGCAGCGTATAATGTATTTCTAATTAATTTTATGTAAGAAAACGCATTTGTTTAAAATATTTTTATTTTAATGAATAAATTATAGAAATAAATATCTATTATATATATTCTATTATATGAAATTTCATACATACGTATATGATAGGCATAATGTTATAAATGTCATTCAGATCTTTGTAAAAATAAATATATTAACTTTTACCTATATATGCAAAATGATTATTGTATTTATATATAAATAATCGATTATTTCATTTAAGCATTATTATATAATTAAAACATATATGAAATTAATATATATATATATATATTTCTTTGGTTCAAGTTAAGGGTATTTTATTATATAAGAAAATATATATATATATATATATATATATAAACCCATATAAGTAATTTTCTTAAAAACTATTATACAGTCTCCAATGGTTATGGTAAATCTGTAAATTTATTTCTGTAATAGGTGCTATTATTAAACATGTCATTTCTATTGTATTTTTAATTAGTGTTAAATATAATAATACATTATTTCTGGCACTTTGCAATAATATATATAATTCATGTGAATTATGCATCCTTTATAAAAAAGTTATTATTATTATTTTTTAAATAGTATATATATATTTTAAACATTATTAGATCTGATTTATTTTCTGCATTTAAATGTTGTAAAAGAATATCTTATGTTATATAAAATAAAAAATTATGAATTATTAGAAAAATAATAAGGTATATTGAATTCTGTAAATTTTGTAAATAATTAGTGACTTTCATAAGAACTTCTCTGGAATAGTATTCCTTTTTTGAATATATATATTTTTATGCTGTTTATTTTATTTATTTTACTATAGTATAACTTCTGGAGGAAACTAAAAATTAGTGATAAAAGGGATTTTATGATGAATACAACATGTTTATAATAGTAACTTCTGCGTGAATTATATTTATTATATTCATCAAATAATATTTATAGTTTTTATTGATCATTACTACATTTTTTCATTTGAAAAAACAAATATAAATATAAACTTTCCAAAGAGAACTGTATATACTAATAGTACGGAAGCATATGTTGATATGGGCTGGTAACCATAGATAGGAGTGTTCATTGTACACCAGTAAAATAGATCAGGATGTTCTCAAAATTTAATCCATAATTCCTCTATATACTTATTTCATAAATTTCTCTCTTTACGTAATTTATCATTTGATATATGTTCATCTTTTTTTGTGTTCATCCATTCATTTATAACAGTACACATTATTTTGACCATACCCCCTTATGTATAAATGAGCATTTTTATACTTTTATCCAGGATTATTGTCAATTTCAACTAGATTACGGTTTGAGATATCTATAATTTTTAATGATTCTTTTTCATTTTTGTCTAAAAGACTTTCATCAAGAATATCATAGTAGGAATTAGATTTTGCTTAACAGCAGTGGTAAATTGTTGCATTCTAATCTTATAAAAAATATGTACATTCTAACAGTAGAATTATAGATAAAATAATTCTTATCTATACAATATCTCATATACAAGATACTGTGAATTAAAATGTCGAATTGATTTAATGATATCACGCTTAAAACTTTTAATATTAAATGTTTATGCACTAGGAGGAAAATATATAATTTGTTATAATATATCTATATAATAAAAAATATATAAATATGTAAAAATAATTATTTCAT